CCACTATACGTTGTAGTATAAACATAAATAAAAATTGTTTCGTGATTATAATTATAAAGAGATTCATGTCGTTCATGTAAAGTGATCAGCTGAATCGATTAAATTCATTATTTCGTCAATGTATATATACAAAACAAATCGCTATCGCATCGGTAGGAATACAAACGTTGAGTTACAGTAGTAAACTGTCAATTTTTTAAATAACAACCACATTAGTAATCCTTTTAGTATAATAGATCATTGGTATCGTCTTAGATCTTCCTTCTAATACTATTACAAAAGATGAAAACGCCTGGTTATACTTCCATCCACTTTGGAAATCCCCCCCCAGAAGAAAATAAAATGGATCAGCCTATAATATATATTAAATACTTAACAAGTCCTAGAGAGTAAGATGAACACGATTATATGTCTCAAGAATAAAACTTCTCGATATATTACTTCGTTTAGATGCCATCAATGCCGTTCCAAAATGTTACTCGTTTTCTTTATATAATTATTATAAACTAAAAACGTCCATTTGGATCCGTCATTGACCGATTTACTCACAAACCGAATTTAGAAACATCATATCATCTGTTTTGGAAGAACGAAGTGTGGCAGTGATTCTCGAATTGTGCGTTTATAAAACTTCTTAAACATCGTATTAAAACCTCTTATCTGATCCACGTAAAAGAAGTCATTTAAACTCTACAAAACTGAACACCAGTATGTAATAAGAAGACATTTTACAACACATTTAATTGACCAGTATTCGTATTCAAAATTAGAACACTATTTCGGCAGGAACTGACCGCATTTCAACAAATAAAAGAACGTAAATTACTATTTAACAGTGCGATGAAAAGAACAATTCAACAAAACGATCAATGTCGAAGAATTCTCGAATGGATAAATGGATATTTAAAATTCGTGTTTTGACTCTCTCATCTGGTAGTAACAGAAATTTTCTCTCATTTTCTACCCCCCCGTCATTATTCATAATTCTTTATCCAAACAACAACATTGTCCATCTTTCAGTTATATACGTGTAATGTCTCGCCAACAAAAACTAGACAGATTATCCCTAAACATTACAGTTCAAGCCGATCAAGCTCTTCCTAACTCCGTTCTACCAGTTAAGGATCAACGTCAGTCCTGAAATCTCTTCGCACGGAAACGTATCAAACAAGAGCCTCGGTGTGGTAATGATGATAATGATGATGAATGTGCTCGTGAACGTGTTTCCGACCGGAGTTCGCGGCCGCGTTCTGCGAGAATTCCCGTTCTAGCCAACGCACCACTTGCACCATAGCCCTGGCCTGATCTTGCTCTCTAGTCGCGTGTTTCAGTTGATGCTTCTTACTCGACTTGCCGCATTGCTGCGATTGACTGAACTGCGTTTCGTTACGTGGAACATTATGATTGCCCGTCGCCGGCTGACTGACCGGATGCTGACTGTTCGGTAACAGGTTGCTGGCGTTGCGATTGGCGTTGTTGCTCGTTGCAGTCTGTTGCTCCGGATAGGCGGTCGGGCTGATCACAGTGCGGGACATAACTTGCGGTTGCACGTAAGCCCGGGGCGGTTGCGCCGCGGCGTTGCTCCTCGGTATACCGTACTGAGGCCGCGTTTTCCGCAGGTTTCCCCGTGTCTTCGCAGGTACCTTGGAAAAAGACGTAAAACCCTGTGTCTTTTCTCGTGCAGTCTTGATGTACGTCATCGTCGCCGGTCGGGATTCCGATGGCGAACGACAGTCTTGATTGTGGTGGGTCGACGGCTCGACGTGTGCAGTTTGGGATGGAATGCGCGATTGTTCGTTCTGATGCCGTTTCCTGGATCGACAAACGTTCATGTTAATTCTTTATTCGATAAGTATGACTAGCGAACGTTACAACTGATTAAACGTAAATATGACGTTACCAAAGAATTTCTTTCAATATACTTTTCTAAGCTGATATGTACTTTTTACAGTTTTTACAAATATTGTTTCGAATATAACATTAAAATCAGTAAGATAAATCTGAATATATGTAAACTGATACATGGGTTTAATGCACCGTATGGTTTCAAGCAAAAAAGAAAAGGGGGATGGCATAATAGATTTACCTCCCTCATTAAACGCAAGTACCGTACCTTGACGTATGAAAACTGAGATTATTCTTTTCCATGTTCGCCTGAATAATTTCCAAGAGCTGTTGCCTTTGTAGGGCACCGCTGCGTTTTCGCTGATTAGTCGTGAGGAGAGGCGTCAAGGGGGAAACTGCAGGGGAAACGTCGCTGTCATCGCTGATATCACCCTCAGAGCTATTCGAATAGGGTGATGGTAAATGAGGCAAGGGACCCACCCTTCTCCGTAGTTCCTCCTGCTTTATTCGATTCGTTCGCGCGTTTTCACCGTCATCTTCGCTGTGAGAATCCACTTCCTTTTGTTCAGTCTAAACAAGGGGAGAACAGACCAAACGTTTCATTCGTTCAGGTTCCCTAACGTGAAAATCGCTCGACGTTTTCCGCGAAACGATAAATACAATACGGTCTCCTAACGTTTAAACGGAGCACCCTCCATAAACAACCTCTTCAATTACCGCCTCGAAGAAGTGCTTCGCCCCGTTAAACAATTTCCAACAAAGAAACACATCCACGAGTCAACACCCTCTACCAGATATATATTTC